CGGATGTCTCTGAAAACGTTGGAGCACTTTTGGAAAAATGTGATTACTTGATGAACCGAGCAGATATTTGAAGTTTACACAGCTACAGTCTCACCTGAAAATATCTTAAACGTTTATTTTGTGACCCAGAAAGATTAATAAGAGTGATATTAAAACTAAGCAGCTGCTGCCATTGTTGGAAACTGGAATTGGCAGGGCCGCGCTATGAATTCTGGGATATGGTGGGTCACGAAGGATACACCCGACCCATCCTCCAGATCTGGGGAAAAGGAGGACGCATTTGACAGCCGAATTTGGACAGGCTTCGTCGCGTCACTGTAATCGGCCTTCAAATGCGGCCTCAGGACGATGCGGCCCCTGAATTTGGACAGAAGGCGTTTAACGGCAGCTGGCATCCTTCTTAGATGCAGTGCTGCCACCTTCTGTTTCAGTCCCTTACTACACTCTTAAATCCTACTGCAGGATCTTACAAAGCTTCAAACGACGCGTCGACTGTTAAAATAGTCGTGGCTACATTAATGCTGCTGGGTAAGATAAAACCCATGACAGAGGTTTACTCATCAATCAAACGTGGTGCATTGTTACAAGAGTAATATTCAGTGATCTGTAGATTTCTGGTCTATCACAGTATGTAGACCATTGTATGTGCCCAGAAAACTCCAGCATACATCTGTAGAGCCCACCCTCAGATAATGAGGATAACCCAGGCAGAGAACAATCCTCTGGGGGGCGCTCTCACTTAGTTTGAGCTCTCTCTGCAGTAGAGTAGCACTTCCTGTTCCTCTCAGAACAAACAGAGCACACTCTCCTGCCTCTGTACCCTCTTAACAGAGAAAACTATTTCCTGTCTGATCATTTCCTGATAACATTTACAATAATTGATTACACAGCAGTGGGGAGTGGACTTTATCACAGTAGATGTCTTTCTGAAAGCGCTGTAACTAAGTTTAAGAATATAATCCACCCACTGTTATTATCTTCAATGCCCTGTACCAACACAGAGCAGAGCAGCTGCCTGAACGTGTTGATTATTATGTTAATATTTTCACTTCTTCACTGTATACACCTCTGGATACTGTATTTTACAGCATGTGTTACCTGTTAAAAGAATGAATCGGTGTTCTTTGCAGTGGAACTGCTTCCTGCAGAGCAAAGGCGACTGTTAAAATGGAAGATGAGCACCGTAACTCCTAATATTGTCAAGCAAACCATCGGCAGATCACACTTCAGAGTCACAAAGAGTAAGTTGTTACATGTCGCTACATGTCACACACAGATATTGCTGAAACTGGTTCTTTGAAAGTCTCTGGGATTAGCTGTGACAAGATTGCTTTTTTCTAAAACGATTTGTGTACAGTTAAAAAGCAGTTTTTCCTTCCCACTGTCGCTGAGTGCTTGCTCATAGGGGTCATATGATTGTTGAGGTTAGTGTATATCTATGGGGGCAACAAAAACATTAGATGGTGAAGAATTTCAGTCTAATATTTAAAGGCTAAGATAAAAAGGTAACTCCTGACCCTGGCTGATAAACACGTGTTGTCACATAGAAAGCCATGACTGGCTGGGCTGCTGGGGACACCACATGAAGTCACCTGGCTTCAAAGCTCTTGGAGAACACCAGAAGGTCAGCACCTGCACATGGACTACTCTTGATAGTACGCTGAGAAAGTCCAGATTTTGACTGTACTTTTGTGTATTTGTGTGTCCCAGCTGAACCATTTTCCAGGAACATTTCAGATTGGGAGAAAGGACCGGCTGTGGAGGAACCTATCCAAGATGCAAGTCCGCTTCGGCAAACAAGAGTTCAGTTTTTTCCCCCAGACCTTTGTTCTTCCTCAAGACATCAAGCTGCTCCGCAAAGCCTGGGAGGAAGGGGGCGCCAAACAAAAATGGATCATCAAACCTGTACGTTCAGGTCATAGAGTGTAACTTTATCAGAGGTGGAAAGAGTACTAAAATATTTTACTCAAGTAAAAGTACTATTACTTTGCTGAAATTTTACTCAAGTACAAGTAAAATTACCTGTCTAAAAATGTACTCAAGTAAAAGTAAAAAGTAGCTCATTTAAAATTTACTCAGAGTAAAAGTTACATAGTTACTTTTTTGTCAGCAGGAGGACAGCCGCTTCTGAGTAGTGCGAAACAGACAATGGGATAAATCTCAAAGTAGTTGTTTTTTAATTAAAAGAAAAACTTTACAAATTAAAGCGCAGTGGCAGTTAAACTGCAAGTCTACACATCAAAATGGATAATGGTCACCAAACCAACCAATTCTTTTACATGAGAATGTGTTCTAATGTCAAATAAGAGAACAAGTACTGAATTGAGCCGTACGGCAGCTGCTATAAAAATGTGTTTTCATTTTTTTAAACTTAGCCCTGCTCTGTTAATTTTGAGGAGCAATTCAATTCAATAAAACTTTATTGATCCTGAAGGTTGACCCCGAAGGAAATTGGGTTAAGGATGCCGACCTTTGCCAGCGCCGACTTACCCTCCGACCATACATACATTACACAAACATCACATGGGGAAGACGGGTCAGAGAGGTATAACAATGGAAAATGCACCACACGAGGAAAGATAAGGAGAAAAAAATAACTCCCCCCAGACTGAGCTCCAACAGGGAGATCAGTTTGAGAACAAAAAAATCACCTCTGCACATGTGTGAACAAATGTGGGTTAAGTAAGAAAGTAGCCGCGTCTGTCGTCTGTCTAATTTAACTATTTTTTTTAAAAATAAATTATTATTAACAAACAGGAAAAATGTAAGTAAACTTACCTCTACATGCTTGCGCAGGTTTGATGTGAAATTTTTAAAAGCTGCTAAGTCGGTCTCTCTGGGCAAACACAGCTTACACTGCATAATAAAGCTGCTGCCTTTCTTGCACTTGAAGCCAAAATGGTCCCTTAAATACGGCCAGGGGTTCACATCCGTTTCTTCGAGTTCAGGGTCAGCAGAATTCGACGGGGTTTCTTTTTTCGCTGGATCCGTACTGCCGATGTCAGACTCCATCTTTATCCTGACCCAACGCTAATTTGTTCTACTACCCATCATTCCCTGCAGTATTTCCGAAGCGCAATGTTGTTGTTTTTTTTGTTTGTTCTTTTAATTTACTCAGTAACGGGTGTGATTGAAAATGTAGCGAAGTACAATACTTTTTAAAAAATATACTTAAGTAAAAGTAAAATTACCGACTTGAAAAATGGCTTTAAAAAGTACAAATACCCAAAAAAACTACTCAATTACAGTAACGCAAGTAAATGTAATTCTTTACTTTCCACCTTTGAATTGTATGTACTGAAAATCTGCAGGCACGTCTGTGATTGTAATAGACAGCACACTATCTGCCAGATTTACTTAGCAGGGATAGTAGCATAAAAAACATACACAGCACACATTCATGCAGGAGCTTCCAGTTCATTTCATCGACTAAAGGAAACTAGCTGCTCAGATGGAGCGAGTAATCTAATAACAGAAATTTCACTGTCTTTGTGGAAACAACAGTTCAGATGAACTTCCCATTACAGCTGAGATGGTTTGTTGTTGTGGAGGTGGAAGCAGCTGGTTTATTAAAGTCACAAACACCTACGGGGCAACAAACATGTGCAACAATACAACTGTCTGACGCACATTAGCTTTATTTCCTTAAGATAATTAAATATGTTATGTTATAGATTAGAAACTAGAGACAGGTTGAACTATGGAAAAAACAAAGTGTCATTGTACAGCTCTGTGTGTTGGCACTGTTAACACACAGAGGCTTCCTGTAGTCTGAGTAAAACCACTGTGTGGATCCACCTGCACATATTACACATGATTTGTATATGAATCGAGTAAAATGTGTTTTATTTATGTTTTAGTTTATTGTTATTACTTGTTTCCTCTCTTTTTTTTCTTCCATAGCCCGCATCAGCCAGAGGAATAGGCATTCAGGTTATTCACAAGTGGAGTCAGATGCCTCGTAAAAGACCTCTACTTGTTCAGAAGTGAGTAATCCTTTAATAGTTTAGAGCTCAGCAGCCTAAGTAACTCAGTGTTGCTGCATTAACATGCTCTAACTGGATGTTTGCAGGTATCTAGATAAGCCCTACCTCATCAGTGGGAACAAGTTTGACTTGCGGCTCTACGTCTATGTGACATCTTACAACCCACTCAGAGTCTACATGTTCTCAGACGGACTGGTTCGATTTGCTAGCTGCAAGTGAGTTTTCCACCACGTTGATCGTGCCACTTAATTTCACATGGGATGCATATGAATGAGATTCAGTTATCACCCCTCCATGCCTCTAGGTATTCGTCTTCCATGAAGACTCTGAGTAATAAGTTCATGCACCTGACCAACTACAGTGTCAACAAGAAGAACTCTGAGTACCAGACCAACAGTGATTACAAGGCCTGCCAGGGGCACAAATGGTAACACAGAGAATCGAGCTGAAGTGTGAATTGTAGAGAATGTGACCTTTTGACCTTTGGACACAGATGTAGGCGGCTTTTCAATGCTGTGCCAGGCTTTTTTGTCTGAGCTCTCCTCGCTGCACAGCATACGCCGTGTTGTTAAGCTTTTTTGAATGAGCCCGTTTCTACTCCTCGTCCGTTCTCTGGCTGTAGCGTTTTGGACCAGTGGACAGCTTATCAAGGGGCTTTTAGTATAACCTGATAAGGAAATGCAACAGTGTAGTGTAGAATGTCTTTGCTGTTTCTGTATGTATGACTTGGGAGGATATTACTTTGTGTTTTCAGGGCTCTGAAGGCCTTGTGGCAGTACCTCGGGTCAAAGGGAGTCAATACCACCCTGATATGGGAGAAGATTAAAGACATCGTGATCAAAACTATCATAGCGTAAGTTTGCCTGCTCAGTGACTGGCTGCAGAGATCAGTTTGTTTGTATTATATCTTTTAGCTAAAACCATCTGCATCCGTAAACTACTCGTGCAACAGACAGACTCGCAGACAGATTCCCACCCATTGTTTAACTGTTCGAGCTCAAAGGTTCTTTTCCCAGTTTTGATTGCTTCACAGCTGAGTCCCTATCTAGAGTAAATATTGGTATTTGATTTGAATCTTTGTTTTTATTTTTATAGCCTGTGATATTTCTTTAGATGTGTATTTCAATGCAGAAATTGTGATATCTTTCCACTGAGGAACATGTCCTTAAAAATGCTCTAAAAGGTGCTAACCTCACAAACATGCTGCACCTTTAAAGCTAAAAAGGTTGTTAAAAGAAAAGACCCCTGTATGTATTTCTGAAGATTAAACTGTGCATTAGGACAAGGATTAAGATGCTGAAATCAGCTTCCTCCCTCCCGTGTCGTGGCCAGGTCAGAGCCGTATGTTAACAGCCTGATGAAGCTGCACGTTCGGACACCTTACAGCTGCCACGAGCTGTTTGGCTTCGACATCCTGCTGGACGAGAATCTCAAACCCTGGATTCTAGAAGTGAACATATCGCCTAGGTAACAAATGCCCACATTAAAATAACACATTTCTTTAAAAGAAAAAAGTTACCTTTAACTACATCTGTAACTCTGATCCAGCCTTCACTCCAACACGGGGCTCGATGTTTCCATAAAGGGTCAGATGATCAAAGATCTCCTGAACTTGGCTGGCTTTCGTATTCCTTCAAGAGAAGATGTGGTTACCCCCTGCAGCAGTGCATCCAGCTCCACCAGCAGGTAACAATAAGACACTACCCCTCTGGGTTTTTAGCTGCAGCCTCAGAAATGACCTCGTCATGAACATGTGTGCACTTGTTTGTTTGTAGTTTGTGCGCAGGGAATGGAGAGAGGCCCAAAGTGGATCTGTCTGCTGATGAGAAGGTCAAAAGAGCCTTTTATCTGAAACAGGGTGAAGCTAACCGGGTACACACACACACACACACACACACACACACACACACACACACACACACACACACACACACAGTGACTTTAATAGTTTAACAGGAAGCGTAAGTGCATACAGCTACAGGTTTTTTGGTTATTATTATTTATTAATTGGTTGCTTGTGGTGGAAACAAGCACTGGTTTCATTGTTAGCAATAACACAAAGAAGCAGTTATGACCTTGTGCCCTTCATTTTCTCTCTCTCAGGACTTGATGCACACGGTGTTGGATGTTTTGACTCCAGAGGAAATCCGGGTTCTGGCAGAGAGTGAAGATGAGCTGAACCGTCGAGGAGAGTTCGAGCGCGTTTTCCCATCACCATCATCATCTCGCTACCTTCGCTTCTTTGAGTGTCCAAGATACCTCAACATCTTACTGGATGAGTGGGAGCAGAAGTACTGGAACAACAGGGCGAAATGTATGTGCACTGCTGCTTTGAAATAAGATAACGGTCACCTGACTGATGTTAACTTTTCTTTTAGGTTTTGCAGTTCTTGATAACTGTAACTTTATCAAAACACTGTCAGATTCTGTAGTTTTCTCTGATCCCTTTCCCCATTTGGAACAGGATTGATATGTTTAGCTGTCTGTCTGAGTGATGTCCAAAAATGAAGCAGGCAGTATAGATATTTGGGAGAAAACGCCCACCCCCTTAGAGCCTGCGTCTGCTTCCAGACCACCGAAGAAACAACCATAAATCAGTAACTATTTCAGCATCTTCCACATCTGCACCAAAGAGTAAATCAGTGAAATGTGGATTGTTAAACATCAGGTCATGAGCTAATAATTGATGAACCTCACAGAAACCTGGTGATAGCAGGATGATTATGTCGGATTACATGAATCTATATCCCACAGTATTTGTCTTTCTAAAGTGCTGTAACTAAGTTTAAGGATATAATTCACCCACTGTTATCCTCTTCAATGCGCTGTACCATCACAGCACAGAAACAGCTTTAGTGAAGGTTACAGATGATCTTCTTATGGCCTCTGACAGTGGACTCACCTCTGTGCTTGTCCTGCTGGACCTAAACACGCAAATCAGTCCGTGCATGATTGCATTGCTCCGCCCATCAAATGGTCTGTGCATATATCGCCTATCGTCGGTTATTGGACTGATGAATTTTTACATATCACCCATCCCTCGTGTGTATGGTGGTAAAAACCATTCTGGCAAAATGAACTAATAATAACATCAAACAAACATAGAAAAAGTATTGCAGCTCATGCGACTCATGATTGTTATCTGTTATTTCTGATTTATTTATTTTAAGCTGTCGGTACTCCAGTGGGCTGGGGGGCACTAACCTTGTAGTATGGTTTGTTCATCTCCTGCTGGTCCATGTGCAACTTCACTGTTATGTATTCAGCTGGACTGCTGTGACTTTGGCGTGTAGCCACAGAGGGAAGGGAAAACAGTGAAACTGCAGCTCAGGTTTGCTTTGTCTTACGTGCAGGTATCAGCCTACTGAGACCTCTCTGCCAGCAAGGAGTCCATCTGGGAACCAGTGACCCTGCTCACATGGTGAGAAACTGCAGAACAATGAAAGGAAAACATAAAACTAGAAGAGAAAGTGGCTCCTTTAAAATGCTGAAATCAGTCTGTCTTTGTAGTGGTGTAAGTACAGCTACAGCTCCAGGTTTGAACACAACAGACAGGACGTGGTTAGCCCTTCCAGAGCCAGGTACAGGGTTTATTCCAGTAATACACCTATCATATGGAAGTTAGAGTAATAAAGGATGTGGGTTTATTGCACACCGGTCTCTAAGTGAACTCTGCTGCCCTCTCCTGTGTTGTCCTTCAGGGTGGTGGTCAGCCATCAGCTCTGGTCTCAACGCAACAGCAGTATTGACGAGGATCACCAGCAGTGCCTGGATCACCAGCAGTGCCTCGGCCCGGCCTCACCCACAGCCTGCTGTCCCAGCAGTCGGCCTAACTCTGATGATCTGATTTCCTAACCCAGAATACACTGAAAGCTCAGGGTCTGTTTCTTCCCATCCTCTAACCAGTGCTGTCATTTAGCCCTCACCAATCACCAGAAACAGCAAACAAACTGTTGGAGGGAGGGAGTGGATTTTTAGGGTTTAACCCCCTATTTTGTCTCGTTTTAAACTAAAGATTAATAATATATCATTTGTTAAGCATCTCGAAGGTGAGGTGATGAGTAATGGCACAGCACTGTAATTCTTGTGTCTTTAAAAATGACTGTTGGTTTTTAAAAAGAGTCACAAACATCTGTGTGGGACTGGGAGCTGTTTGTGTGTCACTGCTAACTTTGGGGGTTTCTCTGGGTGAAGGTGTTACTGGGTGTTTGACAGAATCTTGTTCTGATGATAGTGACTTACAGGGTGCTTGATGATCAAATATTTACTAAATGGCCTATGATGTGCAAATTGATGGTATTAAAATTTGAGCAGTTTGACTTGAACTTGCAAAACGGACTGTCCTTTACACACAGTGTTTCATGGAGGCTGCCAAGTGCAAGTAAAGCACCAGAATCTAGGTAACAGGTAGAGATGGGTATTGTTTAGGTTTTATCCGATACCGGTGCCAAATCGGTACTTTTGAAATGGTGCCGGTGCTTAAACGGTGCTCGAACCGGTGCTTAAACAATGGAGAACACAAACTTTGTCTAAAAACCTCTCATGTTTTCATTTTTAGCAGTCTCTTTTTTTCTGCAAAATGATAAGGACCGTCCAGCCCCACACACGGGGCGATCCGCGCTAACTCACTAATGGAGATTTACCACCCCCGCAGTAGATGTGCTCGGTGTGAGGTCTCGCAGCAAGCTGTCAAATATGGTGCATTTCTCGGCTTTTAACAAAACGCTATGCGTCACCAGGTGTTTCATCGGATTCGAGGTGTTACCTCCTTTGACAGTATCACAGTATCAGCTTAAAGCACTTGTTGCTGCTGAGTTTGCATATTTTGCTGTGAAGTACAGCCAGACTTTGACCGCTTCGCTTTGGGCATTTTTACTCTGTAGCTCTGCTCTAAAACAACGTACGTACCTGGGCCCGCCTACTATCCTCGGAAAGGTAAAATGATTGGCTGGAATCCAAAGTGTGTGACATCTCAGGGGAAAAAAGCACCGAAATGTGCGCTGCTTTTCGGTCTGGTTACTACCGTTTATGTCAGAACCACCGGTACCCATCCGTAGTAATAGGTAACCATAGCTTCTTTGAACACAGTGCATCTCCCAATACTTTGTGTTTCTATGAGTTACACTTGTATTGCTCTCTGTTAGATTCAAAGACTGTTTGTTCCCCCAAACACGGCGAGTGCAGTGTTAGACTGAGCCAAAGAGCCACAGTAAACATGAATGGGGTAAACTGGACAGAGCTGAGTTGTTGTTGGTAGGGAGTTCCTCATTTTCAGGAGAAAAAAAAGCTGCTGATGTTCTTTTAAGGTGATTTTGATTCAAGAATAAACTAATAAAAATGTTTTGGTACATCTTCTGTTAAAACTGAAAAATATCACAAGCAACGCTATTGCAACAGTGTTGTAGCTGCCAGATGTTTGTCACTACTGCATAATTATTTTCAGTTCTCTTCGTCATAGCAGGAACTTTAAAGGAGACGTGTTTGATTCTTGAACTGTACTTGGGAGACATCCTCTGCTGGGTGGCAGATGAACAAATTGATGTTGGCAGGAGAGAGAAGACGAATATGCCCAAAGTGCATTTTCTTACATTTAAGAAGCAGTTGAAGGTTCAAGTCAAAAAACTGCTGCCATGTCTCTTTGCTCCCTCGGGAGATCCAAACAAACAAAAGCCCCACAGCCAGACGGTTCATGTTTTTTATTATGTGTGATAAACCTTCTCCACGGTACAGTGTGGGCAGTAAAAGACAAAACACAAATATGTGATGCTAATTATGACAAATCCGTCTTACAGGTAACAATGAATCTAGCCTTTGAAGCAGTTTAAAGAGTTTTGGCTCAAAGGGAGCACTTTACTGCATTATTTGAAACCACAATATGAATGTCTGACAAACACAGAATGAACTGACTGGTTCCTATATAGTGCTTTTCTACTCTGCTTGAACACTCAAAGCACTTACACCTACATTCATGCAAATAGTTGTTTCTATTCCTAAGGGCTTTCTAAGACTGACACTCTGGACACATCAGGAGCAACTTGTGGTTCGGTATCCTGTCCAAGGATGGTGTGCATACTGGAAGGATCGAACCATCGACCTTCCAGATTAGTATACGACATGCTCTAACTCCTGAGCACAGTGTGACAATGACAATAGCAACAAATCTGAAAGAAAAGTCATGAAGTTTGGGGTTTTTCTTTGCCCCAACCAGGCTTTGTGTAAAATCGGTCAGTACAGGTAAGAGGTGTTGGTTTGGGTCTCTCCCTTTTTTTTGTCACTTACTCTGATTTGATGAATATTAAATTAAAGAGAGTTGGGCTGCTTATAAATAGTAGCTTCTTTTTCACTTGGTGCCTTTTGAGAAGCAGCCTGCATTCAGCAGATCTAACAAACAAATGTTTTCTGGTGTTTGTTTCTCCGTGGAAATTAACGGGGACATAATTTCGGTAGTTTGGAACTAGCAGTTTTGTGGTGCTACTCTTTTATTGGAGGAAATGAATGAGGGCGCCTCCATTAGTGGGGGTGGGAAAAAACGTAGTTTTAGATATGAATTTATACAGATTAACTACATGTTCCAGTCACTATACAGTGGATCAAATAAGGTTCCTGTGAGTACTATGGGAGCCATAATCTGGAACAAGAAAGAACATAATTTCACCATAAACCAGCCATGACCAGTTGCTCCCCACAAGATTTCAGACAGAGAAGTGAAAATTCTCAGAAGAGTTGTCCAAGTGCTGAGGACCAAAACTACAAAAGGAGCTGGAATCATCAGGTGCAATGGTTTCAAAGAAAACAATAAGAGATGCACACCATGGCCTGTATGCACGCTCGCCATGCAAGACTCCATTGCTAAAGAAAAAGTATGTTGAGCATTAAAAGTTTGCTGAATAACAATAGACGCCTGTGAAATACTGGGAGAATATAGCCTGAGACCAAAACTGAACTCTGGAAGCCATTATACACACCATGTTTGGAGGTCAAAGGGCACTGCATATCATCTCAATATACCATACTAACAATAAAGGCTTGGCTCTCGACGGAGGCGGTCACATCTTCCTCTCTCCCTCCCTTATCTTTCCTGTTTGGCTTCTTTTGTCTCGTCTGCTCTAACTCAGCGACTCGCTCCGTCTTGTTCTCTAAAATCAAGAAATTCTGGATTTGATCAACTAGTCTCTTAACGCGACTGACATCATCTTCTCACCGAGAAGACCGGGGGAGCCTGAATGTCCTGCAGGAATGTTGGCTGCTGCATACACAATGGACGGCTGGGGGGTGGCGGGTCTTGTGCCTGGCAACACTCGATGGAGGACGTTGAAGACATCTACCTATTTGGAACCATGATAACGGGGTTCCTGCTGATTGGAGCTGGCATAGCCCTGGCTTATCTACGACTAATGAAAGCGGTTACAGCTGCCCAAAAAGGTTGACCGGCATGACTGATGCAGTGAGTACTCAGACTGTGCTTATTGAACGCACTATAGATAAAATCATGGAGAAGCTCACGACTCTGCAATGGGAAATCAATAGACCTGGGACCAGTGATGGACAGTAGATCAACTGCAAAATTGGGATGCATCTTCACACGGCCTCCCCTCACCAGCTGGAAGCTCCAGAGCCGAAGCTGGAACAACAAATCCTTCCAGATTAAAGACGGTGTGTGACTCTGCCCTATCCTCCTACTTCCTCAAGGTCACCTGTGTTGGCTGGGGGATTGTTGACTTTTGCTTAAAACTAGGTGAAAGGGAACTCTCTCGAGTTGGATACAGGATACACGCACGCATACACATGTACTCAGACAGATATACAATAACCTCCCCCCTCCAACGGCTTCGAACTTCCACCCAATGCAGTCAGGCGAGTCTGTGTCCAGGGCCAGGGTCCGGCTGCAGGACCGGATGGCTGTTGTCTACGTCGCCTCTCTCCAAAACCCCACCCATCGCAAGTCCCGTGTTTTTTATGTTGTAAGGTGTGAAGACTCATGTGCTTCATTGAGGGTTTTATTCCCAAACTGCTCTCCCCTGAGGAGCTCAGTCTGGGTGGAGTTTTTTTCCCTCCTCTCCCCTCATGTATTGTGTATTTCATTGTTTTTCTTACCCTCCTACCTCTCCGACCTGTCTTACCAACGTCATGTTTGTGCCTGTATTTACGGTCGGAAGGGGGCCTGTTTCACTGCATTCAATTCAATTTTATTTATATAGCGCCAAATCACAACAGCAGTCGCCTTAAGGCGCTTTGTAGTGAACAGTAGATGCATGTACGTGTTTCATTACTAGTGACAATCAGTCAGTCAATGCTTGTGGGCTGTCGTTCAGCATATGGAACTGTCACGCTTCATGTAACTCAAGAAAAGGTGAATAGAAAAATGTACCGAGACATTCGTAATAAAAAAATCTGTCAGGATTTCAGGATCAAACATAGACATGTATATAATTCCCTTCTCACCCTGGGGTGATCTTTATCTTTCAGGCCTCTCTACCAGAGGCCTGTGCAGTATCTTTGCTGTTCCTCGGACTGCGCCCTTCTACAGGAGAACTACTGCACTGCAAGTGCCCTGACTTCACTATATTATACTAGCACATCAAGTGGAAGTGTCTTTTTTAGTCACTGCGTAAAAGAACTAATAATGAAAAAACAAGGAAAACTACATAAATATGAATAAGAATCAGTGTTACTGTTACTGGCATTGACTGATCTGCAATGATGATTTTTATATTATATATAAATTTTTTCGTTCGTTCTGCTCTAAGAAGTCATAGCACTCCAATGCTATGCTATGTATTTTTCTAAGTGGTTTATGAGAATGGATTATGCCACCACCCAGTGAAATTATTGCAGCTCACCTTCTGGGTTGTCACGAGTTTTGACCCACTTCAGATCAACTCTATTCAAACATAAATTACCAACAGTGGGATTCTGGCATTTAAAAAGAAATGGCTCATCTCATTTAACGTGGTTAAGTTTGAGCATCTCTCCACAGATGTGTTCTGATGCTCACCTTTATTCACTTTTTGCAGACAGATTTTACAGATTTGCTGTTTTTTAGTTTAATCACATTGTGTTTGTTCTTCTGTCCAATCACTGCAGCTTCTATGCGTTTTCAGGGCGCTGGCAACTTTTCTTTGCAACTGTGATACTCCAACAACATTTTAAAAGGACTCTGTAAATAGCTGTAAACTATTAATATGTGAGGTCTCCTGTAACCAGCAGCACAGCCTGTTTGGACACCTGCAGTTATTATTAGCACGACGTTGTACAAGCTGGCTGTGAATCTGAATTACAATGTAACTGGATTCAGAGAATGATCTACATGTTTGAGCTGTGTTAACACCTGAGAAGAAGTGCTGAATCTGTGTGCGTTTGCCAACAGTTTCTTCATTTTTAGTCAACAAACTGCAGAGTTTATTTTGTTATGTTTTGTTGGAAATTAAGAGAGAACACATGGTTTCAGGTTTCAAAGGGTTTTTTGGCAAAGTTTAAATCTTTTCTGTAAAAATGTGAATGTTGACTATGTGTTTAGTGATGTTAGAGGCTGCATGTAAACTGACTACGGTGCAAAGTAGGAGATGGTTTACTAGATTTATAAATAGTTACTGGCCCAGTAAACTTTGAATGTCTCCCACAGTAGTACCAGCAAAGTCTTAAAGCTGTACTGAGCACTTCTTTCTTCCTGTAACACAGAAGTATAAAGTTCAGCTATCCTGGGAGAAGTTAAATGCACCTCATTAAAAGCCCTACATCAAAGTTGGTTATTAAAAATGTAAGCTAAAATATGAACATTTCCACACTTAAAATTTAGTATTTTAGTATTTAGTATTTATTTATTTATTGTCATTGTCAAGAACAATGAAATTGCGTTTGGGGCTTCCATACAACCCAAAAAAAAGAAGAAAATAATAAATACCCCTTAAAACCCAAGTGTACATATTTAACCCAGTGTGACTCCAATGCAATAAGACAATCCTTAGCAATAATGTTCGTAGAAATCAAAGTAATATTAGCTAATGAAGGTTGATTCTGCTCATCCAAGTCAAGATTAGCAGAATCAGCCTCTGGGATTTACTTACCTGGATGATTGAGCATCAAGACACATATTAGCTAATATCACTAGCAGCTGTTTCACAAGAATTGGAAACAAAACTAAAAGTAATGTAAAATTCTTTAAGAGTAAAAATGACACTTTGGACAGAGAAGTTATGTCTACTGTTAAAACATGTCTGATGATCTGATAGCTAATCTTAAAAACACACAAATAGTTCATGACATTGAAGCTAACGAATGTGCTGAAGTGCGCTGGTTGCTACCGTAGCTGGATGTTGTCATTGCTGTATCACCCACTGGTTCTCGAGTCTGCACTCAAGAACCAGTATAAATGTTGGCACTTTGGCTGTTTTCATGGAGCCAGAGGTGGAGGAGAGGATGGATTATTGGATATGCAGACATCTCGTACATACAAACTGCTTATTAAATCTGTGTTTAGTTTCCACTTTCAGAAGATGAAGTGACCGGGATGAGCGTCCTCTGCTCTGCTACAAATGTTAATAAGGCAATACCGGGAGGTATTGCTGGACAATACCTCCCACCCACTCCACGATGTGCCGGCCAGTCACAGGAGCGCCTTCACTGACATACTACCCATAATGCACCACTGAACGACACAGGAAATCATTCCTGCCTGTGGCTGTCCTTTACAGTGAGTTTTACAGTTTGAGGTTTAGAGTCAAATGTCAATATATTGAACCTCTGTAGTATTCTGGATAGCCATTTGTATATATTAGAGCTATTTCTTATGTTTTGTAACTTTGTAACGTACTGTATTATTTAATTAGTTCAGATTGTTACTGTAACCACACAGTTTCCTTAGGGATTAATAACGTATTCTGATTCTGATAATTACTTTATAAAATAATGTGCAACCTTGTTTACCCAACTAAATTCCAGGTGTAATCTGAAGCAGTGGACAGTCGGGTACAGACACCTAACTGAAATAGCGATGACTTGAAGCTTTAGGGTTCACCAGGTTGCCTGGTAACTGTAACACACATATGTCCTGAAAACGGGAAAGAAATCCGACGGGAGATGTGGCTTGTGTTTGCTGAATTCCCCATAATATTTATTCTGCTGCATACTTGATCCACTGTTTCTGGTCACTTTAGAAGTATTGAAACTGCAGTTGCTATTTTCAAATATTGCTACACGGTGGTAAATTTGCCCTGTTGCCCTTTTTTTTTTCTTTTGTATTTTTATTTTTTTTTGTATTTTTTTTTTTAAATTGGGATTGTAGATGGAGCTGTCCCAGCTACCGGTAAGATCAAGGAAAGATGGAGCACGAGCAAATCAAAACTTACCAGGGGCCAAAGAAATAACCAGAGTAAATGTAAAAGGTGGTCCAAACATCACATCATCACATCAGACGTCTCTGTCCAGGAGACTGCAGATGCTGTCAGCATCCTCAAACTCTCAAAACACTGTTAGACCCAAGCTTGAAGAACATATAATCTTTTTTTGTGAAAACATTATGATGCCCTTATAAAAAAATAAAAACCCTCATATAAATACCCAACATGAAACCAACATTTTTAACAGCAGTGTATATTATATTTCTTATTTGTCTGTGGCATAAGCAACACCTGCTCTTCTCCACAGGTCCAGACTGACACATTCATTTACATGAACTTCATGAAGAGTCACTCCTGCTACGATGCCATCCCAACCAGCTCCAAACTGGTCATCTTTGACACAACACTGCAGGTCGAATGTTCACAACACATCCTCTTATTCTGCCAGTAAAACAAGCCACAGTTACAAAACATGTTCATGGTTTCAGTGACTGGGTGTCTGTTTGGCAGGTGAAGAAGGCTTTCTTTGCTCTGGTGGCTAATGGTGTGAGGGCAGCGCCGCTGTGGGACAGCAAGCTTCAGTGTTTTGTAGGTGAGCCATACAGGGAGTGCAGAATTATTAGGCAAGTTGTATTTTTGAGGAATAATTTTATTATTGATCAACAACCATGTTCTCAATGAACCCAAAAAACTCATTAATATCAAAGCTGAATGTTTTTGGAAGTAGTTTTTAGTTTGTTTTTAGTTTGAGCTATTTTAGGGGGATATCTGTGTGTGCAGGTGACTGTTACTGTGCATAATTATTAGGCAACTACAGTGGGGCAAAAAAGTATTTAGTCAGCCACCGATTGTGCAAGTTCCCCCACTTAAAATGATGACAGAGGTCAGTAATTTGCACCAGAGATACACTTCAACTGTGAGAGACAGAATGTGAAAAAAAAATCCATGAATCCACATGGTAGGATTTGTAAAGAATTTATTCGTAAATTAGGGTGGAAAATAAGTATTTGGTCACCTCAAACAAGGAAAATCTCTGGCTCTCACAGACCTGTAACGTCTTCTGTAAGAAGCTTTTCTGTCCCCCACTCGTTACCTGTATGAATGGCACCTGTTTGAACTCATCATCTGTATAAAAGACACCTGTCCACAGCCTCAAACAGTCAGACTCCAAACTCCGCCATGGCCAAGACCAAAGAGCTTTCGAAGGACACCAGGAAAAGTATTGTAGACCTGCACCAGACTGGGAAGAGTGAATCTACAATAGGCAAGCAGCTTGGTGTGAAAAAAATCAACTGTGGGAGCAATCATCAGAAAATGGAAGACATACAAGACCACTGATAATCTCCCACGATCTGGGGCTCCACGCAAGATCTCATCCCGTGGGGTCAAAATGATCATGAGAACGGTGAGCAAAGATCCCAGAACCACACGGGGGGACCTGGTGAATGACCTGCAGAGAGCTGGGACCAAAGTAACAAAGGTCACCATCAGTAACACACTACAACGGCAGGGAATCAAATCCCGCAGTGCCAGACGTGTTCCGCTGCTGAAGCCAGTGCATGTCCAGGCCCGTCTGAAGTTTGCCAGAGAGCACATGGATGATACAGCAGAGGATTGGGAGAATGTCATGTGGTCAGATGAAACCAAAGTAGAACTTTTTGGTATAAACTCAACTCGTCGTGTTTGGAGGAGGAAGAATACTGAGTTGCATCCCAAGAACACCATACCTACTGTGAAGCATGGGGGTGGAAACATCATGCTATGGGGCTGTTTTTCTGCCAAGGGGACAGGACGACTGATCCGTGTTAAGGACAGAATGAATGGGGCCATGTATCGTGAGATTTTGAGCCAAAACCTCCTTCCATCAGTGAGAACTTTGAAGATGAAACGAGGCTGGGTCTTCCAACATGACAATGATCTAAAACACACCGCCCGGGCATCAGTCCATAGAACCTTAGAAAAACCAGTCTTGAGATATTTCTTGGCCCAGTCTTGACGTTTCAGCTTGTGTGTCTTGTTCAGTGGTGGTCGTCTTTCAGCCTTTCTTACCTTGGCCATGTCTCTGAGTATTGCACACCTTGTGCTTTTGGGCACTCCAGTGATGTTGCAGCTCTGAAATATGGCCAAACTGGTGGCAAGTGGCATCTTGGCAGCTGCACGCTTGACTTTTCTCAGTTCATGGGCAGTTATTTTGCGCCTTGGTTTTTCCACACGCTTCTTGCGACCCTGTTGACTATTTTGAATGAAACGCTTGATTGTTCGATGATCACGCTTCAGAAGCTTTGCAATTTTGAGACTGCTGCATCCCTCTGCAAGATATCTCACTATTTTTGACTTTTCTGAGCCTGTCAACTCCTTCTTTTGACCCATTTTGCTAAAGGAAAGGACGTTACCTAATAATTATGCACACCTGATATAGGGTGTTGATGTCATTAGACCACACCCCTTCTCATTACAGAGATGCACATCACCTAATATGCTTAATTGGTAGTAGGCTTTCGAGCCTATACAGCTTGGAGTAAGACAACATGCATGAAGAGGATGATGTGGACAAAATACTCATTTGTCTAATAATTCTGCACTCCCTGTACATCATCTGTCTGTAGCACTGAGCATGAGTAACATGAATCTCGATTGAAGCTTGAGCTCCCCCGATACAACCTTCAGTGGTTTATTAATTCTTTATAATCCAAGCCGCTCTGCAAATGCTTTTCCAGCTTGCATCTTACATTCTGCCCCTGTGTGTTAGATGGTGTCTGGGGTAGCTGTGCACAATCTGCTACTTGAGTGCTGTTGGCTGTGGTCCCCCCTTTATGAATATGGTGCTTAGGACCTGTTTCTGTGTGCAGGAGGCGGCTGATGGTCACTCCACTCCTAACTCTATATCAATATCTATTATTAATGATGAGCTGGGTTAAGGGGTTGAAGCCCATGCAGAGCACCAGTAAAGTAAATGATTGCTCAGATCAGAACACCTTGCCATTGGACTGAACAAGGTCTGCATCAGGGAAACCACGAAATGCTAATAACAAGTGGACCGCTGCAACAATCAAGGACAAGGACTAAAAACTTTTTCTGTTATACGTTTCATGGGAAAAAACATCACTAAATAATTTCATTTCCCGGGCACAGGTGCCACCCACTCATTTAAATTCCTCAGGCATAAATTCAAGAGCCTGCAGGGGTAGAACTTAGCGCACAAAGAAACCATCGCACACACTGAGCGTTTGCGTTGCACACGCTGCTACAGTGTCACTCCCACAGGTAGCTCTTTGTGCTCGCAGTGAAATCCTGCTGGCTTGAGTCAAAAGCCTTTTTACTGGTTTCTTCAGCATAACCAGTGACAGGTAACAGGGTTTCCACAGCTACACAGTAAACAATAACTGTTGATAATTAATTTGGCAAACTTTGTTTAACAAATTGTATTGAGCGGCACTGAATACTTGCGGTCGTGAAATGAAATTATCTGCTTGGATTATGTTTTCCTTGCACACGACTCGACAGAAAAATAATTTCATAATTGTATGTTACTATGCCAGTTCAGCCAGGTGCAGATTATATGCAAAGCATCTAGGAACGTGGATACAGTGGGGCAAAAAAGTATTTAGTCAGCCACCGATTGTGCAAGTTCCCCCACTTAAAATGATGACAGAGGTCAGTAATTTGCACCAGAGGTACACTTCAACTGTGAGAGACAGAATGTGAAAAAAAATCCATGAATCCACATGGTAGGATTTGTAAAGAATTTATTGGTAAATCAGGGTGGAAAATAAGTATTTGGTCAATAACAAAAATACAACTCAATACTTTGTAACATAACCTTTGTTGGCAATAACAGAGGTCAAACGTTTACTATAGGTCTTTACCAGGTTTGCACACACAGTAGCTGGTATTTTGGCCCATTCCTCCATGCAGATCTTCTCGAGAGCAGTGATGTTTTGGGGCTGTCGGCGAGCAACACGGACTTTCAACTCCCGCCACAGATTTTCTATGGGGTTGAGGTCTGGAGACTGGCTAGGCCACTCCAGGACTTTCAAATGCTTCTTACGGAGCCACTCCTTTGTTGCCCGGGCGGTGTGTTTTGGATCATTGTCATGTTGGAAGACCCAGCCTCGTTTCATCTTCAAAGTTCTCACTGATGGAAGGAGGTTTTGGCTCAAAATCTCACGATACATGGCCCCATTCATTCTGTCCTTAACTCGGATCAGTCGTCCTGTCCCCTTGGCAGAAAAACAGCCCCATAGCATGATGTTTCCACCCCCATGCTTCACAGTAGGTATGGTGTTCTTGGGATGCAACTCAGTATTCTTCTTCCTCCAAACACGACGAGTTGAGTTTATACCAAAAAGTTCTACTTTGGTTTCATCTGACCACATGACATTCTCCCAATCCTCTGCTGTATCATCCATGTGCTCTCTGGCAAACTTCAGACGGGCCTGGACATGCACTGGCTTCAGCAGCGGAACACGTCTGGCACTGCGGGATTTGATTCCCTGCCGTTGTAGTGTGTTACTGATGGTGACCTTTGTTACTTTGGTCCCAGCTCTCTGCAGGTCATTCACCAGGTCCCCCCGTGTGCTCACCGTTCTCATGATCATTTTGACCCCACGGGATGAGATCTTGCGTGGAGCCCCAGATCGAGGGAGATTATCAGTGGTCTTGTATGTCTTCCATTTTCTGATGATTGCTCCCACAGTTGATTTTTTCACACCAAGCTGCTTGCCTATTGTAGATTCACTCTTCCCAGTCTGGTGCAGGTCTACAATACTTTTCCTGGTGTCCTTCGAAAGCTCTTTGGTCTTGGCCATGGCGGAGTTTGGAGTCTGACTGTTTGAGGCTGTGGACAGGTGTCTTTTATACAGATGATGAGTTCAAACAGGTGCCATTCATACAGGTAACGAGTGGGGGACAGAAAAGCTTCTTACAGAAGACGTTACAGGTCTGTGAGAGCCAGAGATTTTCCTTGTTTGAGGTGACCAAATACTTATTTTCCACCCTGATTTACGAATAAATTCTTTTCAAATCCTACCATGTGGATTCATGGATTTTTTTTCACATTCTGTCTCTCACAGTTGAAGTGTACCTCTGGTGCAAATTACTGACCTCTGTCATCATTTTAAGTGGGGGAACTTGCACAATCGGTGGCTGACTAAATACTTTTTTGCCCCACTGTATATAATACATATCTTTAAAAGTGTCCAGTTTCTAGCCACAGAGCCAGCCTCCATGATCATTTTATGGTTGGTGTCACCAGCTCGGATGCTGCTCCTCCAGAAGACCATCGTGAGGTACACTGTGTTGGCCACAAATGGGTGATTAAAGATATTCAACATTTTAGGATTTAAGGACCACAGCTTTCCAAGAAAATAGAGCCTGCTCACCTCCGTCTTCTATAAAGCCTCTCTATTGGTCTTCCCATTCAGCCCGTTGTTGACCTGGTCACTGTAGTGCCTGTATACCACTATTACATCTACATCCTATTCCATAAGAGACACAGGTTATGTAGCTTTTCCCTTCTATTTTATGTGTAAGACCAGAGAGACCATCTCGCTGTCTTATATCTAGTCACATAGTCAGTCATCCATGATGGCTTACTGACACTTCCATCAGCATCAGTAACATCAGCTGGATGGTATTAAATTCACTTGAAATCAAAGGTCAGATCCAAGTAGATCCAAGACTAGTCTTCCAGTACCTTGACTACATGAGACGTGAGGTGCGGTCAATAGTTATTAAGCTCTGATGGTGTTGATTTAGTTAGTAAGGAAAGTAGACAGCATTTCATGCTCACTTGTCCTAAATAAGAAACTTCCAGATGTGTGTCAGTTAGCATCATAACATGATGAATCCATGTTCAGTACGTCCAGTGTCACTCAGGCTAAACATGATCTATATGTTTCTGTCCAGGTATGCTGACCATCACTGACTTCATTAACATACTACATCGATACTATAAGTCTCCTCTGGTGAGCTGAGTTTCTGAGTACTATAAATTTATTGTATATATTTAGCTGCTTTGTGTTTTAGCAGAAGAAAATGGATGGATGCTTTTGTCAAATGCATTCACACTGTGCTTTCAAATCATGTTATAATACAAAAACCATACTGATTAAAAAAATAAGTAAAAATCCTCCATCATGTCGGATGTTGCCATAATCATTGGATCTGAAATGTTTGGTTTGTCTGCAGGTTCAGATATATGAGCTTGAGGATCACAAGATAGAGACATGGAGAGGTCTGTTCAACGATGCTGTCCGCAAGCATGAAAGAATAAGAATTTAGAACAGCTTTCCAAAAAAGTTGTGACATTCAACAGGATGTAAATAAAAACAGAATGCTGTGGTTTATAAATATTTTAAATATGTTTTTTTTTTTAAATGAATCAATCTTTTCTTATTGGCTTGGAAATGTGCCCATTATACTGTTTATCACTGCTTCCACAAACATTTAGAGGTCATCTATGCGTATTAGAGACATTATTGATTGATCCTCAACAGTACAGCTCATGGAGCAACATGCTCATGTTGCCATCCAGATGATGTTTTTGGTTTTTCCTCCCCCTTAGATGTTCTTGCTTATTTTAACAAGACAGTAACCTCATTACATAGTATTCCAACAGCATAGCACTGAAGTAGGAGTTTGGGTGCTCCTGCCTGGATGTAGACTGGATTGATAAGCTCACACACACACTCGAATATCCTCAAGAGGATTCCTGCTGGTCTAGTGTTCTGTGAACAGGACAAAACAGCATTGTTCCTCCTGGATCTGAAGTTTGACTAATGTATGAACTCTCCTTTCAAACGCCCTGACATAGACCTTACAGGGATGGCATCCATGACAGCGGCGGTGGTGGCCAGGGAATTTTTGTTGATTTCGCGTTTCATTCCCCCCCCCAGTTCGTTTTGGAGCTTTGGTCTGCCATGGCTGACAGCCTGGGGGTCAAGGTCCACCAAACCACAGCATACCACCCGCAAACCAACGGGATGTGCAAGCAGCTTCACGAGTCACTCAAGGCCGCTCTCTGGGGTTCTCTTACAGGTTTGCGCTGCGCGGTTTGGGAAGACCTCTGGGATTCTCCAGCTGAACTGGTCCTTGGCCAGCTGCTCAGACAAAGACCTGAGAAACATGACAGAAATACAACAATGCAACCCATTCAATATTATTGTACTGTGAGATATGATATCAGATATGATAGTTATCTATTTAAGAAAGAGGGGGGGGGCAGGAGGGGGAAGAGAATAAAGATATGATGCACCAATGCAGACCAGTTCATTGCAATGGGTGGAATCAGTCTCCACATTCAGGTTTCTGGGCGTCTCTGCCCTTTTAAAGAAGGCTCACCAATGGCTGCACTTCCTCTGTGTCCTGAGGAAGAATAACCTGGACTGGAAGCTGGTGCTGGCCTTCTACCGCTCCTCAGTGGAGAGCGTGCTCTCCTACTGCCTGGGTGTTCAGCACATGGGGGCCACTACTGAGAACAGGAAGGCTGCACAGAGGGTAATTAAAACAGCGCAGAAAATCACTGGCTGAACTCTGCCACCCGTAGGCCATCGACAGATCATCCTGTCTCAGAAAAACCACGGCCATCACAGGTGATCCCTTTCATCCGGCCCACCACCTGTTTGATGCACTGCCCTCTGTTCTGCGCCTGTGGTCAGTCTCACAAACAGCCTTTTCCTCTCGGCCATTCTACTGTTAACAAGCACTGTCCCTCATAATGTTGCTGCTCCATGCACAGTGTTACAAACACTGTGCATGGAGCAGCCATAACTCCATTGTACATGTAGAATGACAATAAAGGGCTATTCTATTCTATTCTATTCTAAACCTGAAGGCTTTGCCTCCCGTTCTACTTTTAAATCCTAGGAACTACAAGTAAGCCTGCTGTTCAGTTTCTGAGTTGTTATATTTTAAGTTAAATATACAGTTCAAATAACTTGCTAATCACTACATTCTGTTTTTATTCACATTACTGACAGCATCCCAACATTTTTGGAAATGGGATTCTAATTCTTTTAAACCAACTATTCCCAAAACTTGCATTGTGGCCCACTGGTGGGATCTGAAGGTAGTGTGGAAGAGCAGTGAGACATTATTTACAATAATTAGTTGCATAAAAAAACTGAAGCACAAGAAGCAAACACTTGATCTTCGGCGTGTGTAATGATCAGGTTCTGATCAAAGGTTTGGCTGCACCACAAATGATGTTCATAGGCTACAATGGTCTTTAGTTTGGGAATGGCTGTTTTTTAAACATTTAAATGAGCTTTAGGCTGTGTTTCCAAGTAGTTTGTGGTTTGTTTGTTTTTGTTTTGCAGAAATCTATCTCCAGTACTCATTTAACAGACTAATCAGCATTACACCAGAGTCCAGGTAAGGCCAGCCCTAAAATAGATTTATTTAATTTAGTCATAATGTAGTCACACTTTATCATTTTAAAGGCTACAGTTCTTTTGCTTAAATTACACCAGATTTACAACTACAATTTCAAACAAAGTACAAAATATCAACATTTAGGGAATTTGGTATCTATTGACTTCCGACCAGTGTTCATTGCTGGAGCTAACTAATCTGAGCTGTGGTCTGCTTGTTAAAAGAGCTTAACTGGGCTGTTTGAAAGCCATATAAAATAATAAGCAGATGTAGGAAATTTACCATGGATAGCCTGTTTATTCTGAAATTCTTAAAATCCTAATCACAAATCGTGTTTGTCTTTTCAGTTTGTTTGATGCCATATACTCCCTGTTAAAGAATAAGATCCACCGCCTGCCAGTTATTGACCCAGCATCAGGAAACGTCCTCCACATCCTCACTCACAAACGCATACTCAAGTTTCTCCACATTTTTGTAAGGAGACACTTCTTGTGCAGCACACCGTTAACTTAATCCCATAATTTAATTGCAGTTAAAAGACCTGGCTCAAAGAAAAGAAATCTTTATTCTCCTGTATGTTGGTATTTGAAAGACTTCTTTTCATTATCTTTTTTTCCCAAATGAATTGTAATTTTGAGGGGCTACAGGTGCCCAGAAATACATCAGATATGGTTAAAAAAAAATCATGGTAAATTACTCTGGACCACTGCTGTGCTTGATAATGTTTGTTTTTCTTGAACAGCATTGGTCTTGAGATGCAGTGATTTCTCATGGCACATAGTAGACAGAGGTAGAAACATGTAGCTCCTTTGTGTAACGTATGATACAAATCGGAGCCTGGATACATCTGCATGCCCTCTATATGCTCACAAAAAGGGCTGTCATCACTGTTTGAAGATGTCTACTTTTCCATTTTAATTGATGCATTATATTTTTTCATGATATTGAGACTTTATATATTAAGAATAATAATAGTGAAATGCAAAATCTCAAAATCTCAATATATTATCTTTTATTATGTCTTTTCCCTTAAGGGATCTATGATTCCCAGACCCAGGTTTCTTCAAAGGCAAATCCGTGAAGTGCCGATTGGTACCTTTAAACATATTGCAACAATCCAGGAATCGGCTTCCGTCTATGATGCTCTGAGCCTTTTTGTGGAGAGAAGAGTGTCAGCTCTGCCTGTGGTCAATGAACGAGGTAGTTTGATATCATGCTAACTGTTCCTATTGATAGACTTAAGCTGAAAACTGCATTCTTCCTCCTGTATCTGAGGTTCTACTAATGGACAGACTCCCCTTTCCAGCACCCTAACATAGACTTTCCCAGGGAGGCTATGGAGTGTGATCCTTCAATAGTTGGAACACACCCTCCAGTCTCCCTTCTTAAAAATGGGAACCACCACCCCAGTCTGCCAGTCCAGAGGTACCGCCCCTGATCTCCACTTCAGGAACTCAGGGCGAACCTCATCCACCCCAGGAGTTGTTTAACTGCCTCAATGACCTTGCTCCTGAAGATAGGTGAGTTGTCCCCCGCATCAGTATCAGACTCTGCTTCCTCCACGGAAAATGTGTCAGTGGGATTAAGGAGATCCTCAAAGTATTCCTTCCACCACCGGACAACTCCTCCCACACTTGAGTTTGAGCTTCAGCCACTGCCTGAGCCACGTTCCTCTTGGCCTGTTGGTACCTTTCAGCTGCCTTCAAAGTTCCACAGGCTAACCAAGCCAGAGAGGACTCCTCCTTCAGCCTGGTGGCTCCCTTCACCTCTGTGTCCACCATTTGGTTCAGGGGTTGTGGCCACCTTGTGGCTGCAGCTCAGTGCAGCCTCGGCAATGGAGGTCCTGAACACGGTGAATTCAGACTCAGTGAATTGACCATCTCCCTCAGAATGTTACTGAAGCTCTGTGGGAGGTATGCGTTGAAGATCTCGTAGACTGGGGCCTCTGCCAGGCACTCCCAGCGCCAGGTCTGTCCAGCATCCTCCCCCACTACCTGATCCAACTCACCACCAGCCCCTCTCTTTACCCGAGTGTCTAGAACATATGGCGGCAGGTCTGGTGATACGATTACAAAATCGATTATCAACCTGTGGCCTAGAGCGTCCTGGTGCTACGCGCACTTACGGACACTCTTATGTTTGAACTTAGTGTTTGTTATGGACAAACTGTGGTTGGCACAGAAGTCCAAGAACAAAACACCACTTAGGTTCAGATCTGGGAGGCCGTTCCTCCCAATCACGTCCCTCCAGGTATCACTGTTGTTGCCCACAGCATGTCTTTATCCTGTCTTCCTTCTCTCACCCCAGCCAGTCACAGCAGATGGCCCCGCCCCTCCCTGAGCCTGGTTCTGCCGGAGGTTTCTTCCTGTTAAAAGGGAGTTTTTCTTTCCCACTGTCGCCAAAGTGCTTGCTCATAAGGGGTCATATGATTGTTGGGTTTTTCTCTGTACCTATGAAGCGCCTTGAGGCGACTTTTGTTGTGATTTGGCGCTATATAAATAAAATTGAATTGAATTGAATTGAAAGTCTCACAGTAGGACAACAAAGTCCCCAGGTTGAGCAGCCTACAGCACACCACCCAGGGACTCCAAGAAGGCTGGGTGCTCTGAATTGTCATGCTAAGTTAATGTTGTTATTCACCTGGAAAATTTGAAGTTTGCATGATCATGAGTCATCAGCAGGTAATCACATGCAACTAACTGAATTTTGTAATATATGAAAAAGCTTGATACGTTTACATTACCGCTCATGGTAGTCTTTATTCTCTTACCAGCATGTAAAGCTTTCAGTCCTTGGTCTTGTCATAATACAGATTACTAAAGACGATCAGCTTTTTTTTTTTTGCTATTTGACAATTAAAGGCTTCAACGCTTCAAGGCCTTCTGTTATAACATTTTCATGTGCATATGCTATACAGATGTAAATTCCATACAAAGCAGCAGAGGTGAGCCTAGCCCTGCCACTAACCCTAATCAGAGACCTGGTGGATGCAAAGGAGTTAAGAATAAAATTCTACCAATTGATTTTTGACAAGGCTGACAATAATGACAACAGTTTGTAAAGCTGTTATCAAGACAAACAATAGCCACATTAGACCAAAAACCTTCATATTACGAAGAGTCATAATATGAAGGTTTTTGGTTTGTTTGCTACATAATTTAATTAAAATTTTTTTATTGTTCTTCTTCAGTTTGGATGCATACTTTGGAAAAAGGTAAAACAACAAAAACTTACCTCATGGCCTTTCTGTGTATATCCTCTGTAGGTAAAGTGGTGGCGCTGTACTCCAGATTTGATGTTATTGTAAGTTGCTGTTTTTTTCCCCATGTATTATGTATGGTACATAGGACCCACATGTGTTACACTGTATATCTTCACACACAATTTCTGATTAAAATACCATAAATTTATTAAAGAAAAAATAGAAACAGTTAAATACTTTATATATAAGCAGTTAATCCAGAAATGTTATTATCTTATGAAAGTAAAATCAGTAGCTGCTAACAACATTGTTGGGTTTTCTTCTGTCCCTAAGAACCTTGCAGCCCAGAAAAACTATAACAACTTAAATATGACAATGCGGGAAGTCATTGCATCCAGATTCTGCTGTGTTGAGGGGGTCCTTAAGTGCTACCCTCATGAAACACTGGAGACCATCATCGATCGCATTGCACAGGCTGAGGTAATACAGTGCAGCCTGCAGTGCTGCAAAAATAATACTTATACACAAACTGCTGGGATACTTTTGGTGGCAATATGAGTCAGACGTGAGAGCTCTTGACTGTGTAATCAAAGTTAGTCCATTAGGCTCAGGTACATTAGGTAGATGCACAACATAAGTACTTAAAATACAGCTTCGATACTTAATGTGTCAGGGTGTACTGATGTATCCAGCAGAGTGGAGCTGAAAAATGTTATCTTTTGTTTCACCAGGTACATCGGTTGGTGTTGGTTGACAGTGATGATGTGGTCAGAGGGATTGTGTCTTTATCTGACCTTCTCCAAGCCCTTGTTCTCTCTCCTGCAGGCATTGATGCACTGTACTCCTAAGCAATGTTCCCTGTAATGTTTCATGTGTCTGAGCGAACACACAAACTCCCTGAGCAACAGCAGACGTGTGCACTGTGGTCACGCCAGCATCGAATCATCCAAGTTACATGTTTATTAAAATAATCAAATTACAGCATTTATGTTAGACTACTTTTAATTAACTGCTTTAGCCCACTTACAATGAAAATTTAAAAAATCTTGTTCATCACCTGTGTAGCATGTTAACACTATTGGAAGTAAAAATAACTTGAACTCCAATTTTGAAAACACAACTTTTTTTTTTATTTTTTAAAAGCTCTGGCTGTATTATGAGTCTGAGTCTGTGGTCTGGGAGAGAGTCTGTAACTCTGTCTGCAAAATATAATATATAATGACCAATGTTGGGTAATTAATTATATAGTTACTTCTTCAAAAAAGTAACTGAGTTATGCAAACAACAAAGTTTTTTGCAGCTGTTTACCTAAAAATGCAGCCAAGGCGTTTTTTTAAACAAACATTTCAAACTATTTACAGAACAATCAGCTGTTCTGCATCAAATCTGATGCCACACAAATTATTTGTGCCGCTCCAAAAATAATTTCTGTCCACTATGAGATGAAGGAGAACAACAGCCTGATACCTGCAGGCCTGACAGCAGCAGATGTGTCACTGCTGTAACACCTGTAACACTCAGCAGTCGCCTCATTGTTCTGACACACAACAAAACTGTTGACTACACTACACACTAACTACACACTAACTACACAAGACAACACACTAACTTTAGACTCCAAACAGGCTAAACGTGGCAAATCTGTCACATCTCAAACACACCGTCACTCCTAAAACTTCCCCCTCCCTAAACATCTAAATGCCATGTTGCCATATCATTTTTTGATTGGTCCACGAGGTACATTTTTCCACCAATAGGAAAGGCTGGTTTTTTTGGTGTTGTTTTAGCTCACAGGCTTTTGAGTGTTTTCCTTATAAAACGCAGTTTCTATATAAAGTATAAACAACGACAGTATTCAGGAAGAAAACCAAACATTGCAGATATTTTATCATAACTCTGGTTTTACGTGGCCGATCAACACAATTTAAAAACTGGTATAAAGTCCACACTTTGTCCGTCAGTTGTTCCGTCTGTCCTGCTCACATCTCCAATGGTTGTACACGTTGTCATTAACGTGGCTTCACTCCACATCAGCCACGCCACTTTGCTCGCTAAAACACCGGCGTCGGGACATAAGGACGCTGTTAGAGCCTGTCAACCACGTTGATTAGCTGCGTATATACGAATGTGAATCGCATCATTGGCTGGAGCAGCCAGTCACGGGTCACTTACTGACGCACACTGCAAAACAGAATTGTTAACATATTTATTTTAATTTCAATTCAGGTTAGATTTTTTTTTGTGTGTGCAACACAGATTGGAGACCATGCCAGCAGTGTGCGATTGCACACGCAGCTTAGAGGGAACATGGCTCCTAAGTCCAACCCATGCTCTCCTTTGAGGAGCCACCCATCGACCTATTTGCCTTGAAATCCTTAAAGGTTTCCTGCTCTTTCTGGTGTTCTTGCCTTCCTTCTGAAGGCAATGGAGATTTTTTCTTTCTGGCATCAGTGTTCTAACCCTGCTATAGTCCTCCTTCATAATATCTCCTCCTAATTCTTTCAGTTTTCCTTTTCTGACTCCTAACAAGAATAATTGTGCTTATTCACTTAACTGTCTCATTGGGAACTACTTTCTTCAAGAACAATTTATTCTAAAACAGTTACATGATTTGAATGGTCTCCTTAAATCTTTTGCTTCAGCTGTCAAATACTGGCAAATTCTGTATCTCTGCGAATTTGTTGTTATTTCACCAAACAGTCAAGCAAATCTTCTGAACTCTATTCACTTATTAGCTCTTCTTCAAACTCTTAGTTTGACAAATCTGACATTAATACTCCACAAGCAGCTTCACTGTGTAATTCTTCCTCTGAATCCACTATGCCATCAGCATCAGCATGCCATAAGCCTAAACTTAGCACATGTGAGTACACGCTGTTGTGATTCTTCTGTTAATTTATCAAAAGTTATACTTTTTTTAAAGGAGTTTTGACATCTTACGATTAAGATGTAATTCAGATCTGTTTTGTATTGTTTCCATGAACAATGCAAAAGAATGTGCTGTCTAAGGCTACAGTATCAGTCAGAAACTTGCATCTATTCATTTTATGAGGCTTCCCTAATTTTTCTAAGAATGCCTTAAATACTGTTGGAAAAGTTCCAGGCTACTGTGAAATAATGTTTCATACTTTTGTATTAATCATATAATTTAATATGTCTTATTTCATATTTCTGATGTCTTTAGTTTTGTTGTACACTGTTAAAAATAAATAACAATTCTTAAATCAGTATTTGTGTCTGAACTTTTAACTGGCGCTGACGTTACATAGCTCTTACATGACTTCAGATAAAGAAGTATACTTGGTCATTAATATTAGTGATGCGATGACATTGTGAATTCCAATGTTGTACTATTCCCACCTGTGTCTGGCTGAAGAATTGGTTGGATAGGTCTTTATTCCAGGCAATCATATAATTTATATGAATGGAGATGACATGTTGTGGTGGTGTGGTCCCTGGCTTGGCTGCAGGGGAGGAGTGGTGCAGTGAGCTCAACGGGGCGGTGCAGGGGAGGCAGATGAGAGCTGGTGGCGTTTGGACTGATGACGGTTTTATTTTCCATTTTTTATTGAGGCAGAAGACAAGCGAAGGGTGCTTGAAAAAGCTGAGACTGGCGCTGACCAGACTGTGAACTGTCGCACAAAAAGTCACAAATAAACGTCACATCTCTGTGCATCAAACTGTGTGTGTGTTGACTGCATTCTACAAGTGGTGCCGAAACCCAGGAAACGTGGGGATGTCAGACCCACATGCTGCGCCACCTACCCAGCCTTTGCCGTTCCTGGCGGAGATGGCAAAGATGAGCCAAGACCAGGCGGCTGCCCAGCGGGTCTACCTGGCAAAGCTGCAGGAGCAAGCGGACCGGCAGACTCCGGTTCTGGAGCGGCTGTTCGGGGCCACTGTGCCGCTGAAGGCCCCTTCACTATTTGTGGCAATGCACCGGATGGGCGACAGGGACCCCCGGCTGGTGGACAAGGTGGTGCTGGAGCAGTTCATGGAGTGGCTGCCAGCGGAGAAGACAAGATGGGTCCAGTGCCATCGACCCGCGAGTCTGGAGATCGCGGTCACACTGGTGGAGGACCATCTCGTCGCCAAAGCAGAGGAGCCCGGAGGAGGCAGCCAGACACCGAGCAAACAAGCCCCAGTGCCGGCACCAAGGCACCTCCGCCTGCACAGGGAGAGTGGGCACCGGTGTTGAGCCCCACTAACCCATTCACTTCCTTTGTGCCTTCCCAGGGATTGGAGGTAACCAGTGCTGCCCCTGAGCCACGGAGAGTGGCACAGACGCCGGGGCAGGAATGCTGGAAGTGCAGCCAACCGGGACGCCTGAAGAGGAACTGTCCTCGGATGGAAGTAAGGCAGGTGTTCCGCGTCACCCGTGCCCCAGCACCCTTTCCCAGTCCAGGAGGGACATATAGCATAAGGACTCGAGGGGGTATACGCCATGCTTTGGTGGGCAGGGGCTGTGCGCAGACCCTCGTGCACCGAAGCTTGGTTCGTCCTGGGGCACTGCTGGTCCTTCAGTCCCGCTGCGCACCATCTCTGCTAAGAGTGTGGCGCAGGCACTGTTTCAGGTCATCTCCTGAGTTAGAATCCCGAAAGAGATACTGACTGACCAGGGCACTTCATTCATGTCTCGCACACTGCGGGAACTGTATGAATTACTGGGCATTAAATCTATTTGGACCAGCGCCCTCTAGTGGAGCGTCTGAACAAGACTTTAAAGTCCATGATTCGTAAGTTAATTCACAAGGATGAACGCAATTGGGATTGCTGGTTAGACCCTCTGTTATTTGCAGTGCGGGAGGTGCCCCAGGCCTCCACGGGAATTTCTTCCTTTGAACTACTGTTCGGCAGGAAGCCGCGTGGGGTGCTCGACCTGATTAAAGAAAGCTGGGAGGAAGGTCCGAGCCCCGCCAAGAATGAGATTCAGGGTCTTCCGGTCAGCATGTGACCCGAATAGACGCAGGAACAAGCTGCTCCGGTGAACTTAACTCCGCTTTGACCAGTTTCACCCCTTCAACTGCCACCTTTAAGTCGCTTACACTCGTAACTGCTTTTCTAGTGTTTTGAACACTTTTGACCCTTTCCAATGGCTGCTAAGAGTGCAAAAGCGAACAAAAAGGAGGACGCTAGCTTAACACTGGAGGCTATCACCACGCTGCTCCAGCAGCACTGAGATGAGTTGGCATCTGAATTTAAGACCTCATTTAACGCCCTCGATTCGAAACTGGACCAGGTACGACAAGCCCAAGAGGAACAGGCCGAGAGAGTTTCATCCTTGGAGCTTGCAACTGAAGACCTGAGCCAACGTGTCGCTGACCTTGAAAACACGTGTGCCGCTCTTCGCGAAGACAACAACCAGCTAAAGAACAAAGTCACTGACCTGGAGAGCCGTAGCAGGCGTCAGAACATCCGTGTCCTTGGACTGCCTGAAGACACTGAAAGTGGGCGCCCCACTCACTTCTTTTCCAACCTTCTCTGTGAGTTATTGGGCAAAGAAATACTTCAGTCTCCACCGGAGCTCGATAGAGCGCACCGCTCCCTCGCAGCGAAGCCGCCCGTGGGACGCCCACCTCGCCCGGTGATCATCCGCCTGCACCGATACCAGATCAAGGACCTCATCATCCGAGAAGCTAGGAGGAGAGGGAAAGTCGACTACCGAGGCGTGCCTATCCGAATTGTGGAAGACTACAGCCCCGAGGTCCTCAATCAGCGGGCGCAGTACAAGGACATTATGTCGGAGCTCTACGGGCGAGGCCTGAGGCCAGCTCTCCTCTTCCCAGCACGGCTTCGCATAACGCAGGCCAGCGGCGCCAGAAAGTTTTTCAGCTCCGTGGACCAGGCTCAACAGTACATTGAGAGGCTCCCAAAGGCTCCGGAAGCCCCGTGAAGAATTATTACTGATAAAACAATGGC